TGCGCTTGTGGAAGCCAGAGGCTGATATTGGATGTCTTCCTCAATTGCTCTCTACCTAATTTTTTGAGACAGGGTCTCTCACTGACCCTGGAGCTCTCCAATTCAGCTAGGATGGCTGGCCAGCAAGCCCCAGGGATCCATCTGTCTTTGCCTCCCCAAGGCTGAATTACAGGCACATTGCAATGCTCAGCTTTTAACATACATCTTCATGTTTACACAGTTAAGCACTTTACTGACCAAACCATTTCCGAGCCCCTCAAGTAAGCTTTTTAGGACAAAGTTTGTGGCTACTTATTTTTTGAGTTTTCCTGTGGCCCAGTGCACCAGCATCTGACGCAGGGTGGTTAAAAATGCTACATTATGAAATGACACTAAAGGATGTCAGAATAAAGATCCTCTCTCTAGAACCAAAACTCTGTATCCTCTTCTCTTTATCATGAAACATCAATCTGAATGAATATTCAACTTTACTAGTTACCTAATTTACAATCAGTACAGCATGGTCCCACTTATGTAAAGTTTTAACACATCTAAGTTAGTATGACTCAATGATTAATCTCTAGATAGAAGGAATTCAAGAGACTGCATGTTCATTCTTCTTTATATTATTTTTTACATAAGCAATGAACATACTTTGAGGGGAAAAAACCCTCTAGCTCAACCCTGATAAAATTATCTTTTCCTTTTAAAAATATGAGTTTTGAGCTGGGCGTGGTGGCGTATACCTTTAATCCCAGCCCTTGGGAGGCAGAGGCAGGTGGATCTTTGTGGGTTCAAGGCCAGCCTGGTCTACATAGTGAGTTCCAGGACAGTTGGGGCTACAAGGAGACCCTGTCTCAAAAAAATTTTTTTTTTGATCTTGATCTAGTTTTAAGTCTCCTGTGTATATTTATATTTGTATTTAATTAAGTCACTTCAAAACCTTTTTATAAGTAAAATAAAGGAGTCAATTTTAAATTAAGCTTCTGTGCATCTTTATAAAACTTACAGTGATGACACTGTATTTCTTATCCAAAATGAAATAAAATAATAAATACATTCAGAAATATCAACTGGTAAGGAGTTAAGCTCCTTGAAGATTAAGGCAATTATGTTCTGTATCCCTATGGACTTAACAGTTAAGCGGCTGCCAGAGGGTGAACAAGCTTTCTTAAAGGAGGCAGCAGACCTGTGCTGCCAGCCTTGAATGAAGGGGTATTGCCTCTACCTTCCCTTCATACTTTCATCCAAAGGTGGTGGCTTTTTAGGCCTGGCCAATGATTCTCGGATTGGTTTTAGGAGAGCCAGCACATTTCAAACAAGGACAAACTTACGGTCACATTGTACTGATAACAGACTCAAAAATTCTTCATGTCTACCCCATGGTGCCTTACTAATGAGGCTTACTCACCTCGTCAGCCAGTGGACTTTTGGTCCCTTTTTGGTCAGCCAGTGGACTGTGGATGTCAGACCTCTTGCATTATAATTCTTTTTTTATTATCTGCCTATAGTTCTAAGGACCAGCACTAATATAAAAATATCTGTCTGCTAACAGAGCTCTTTCTATCAGTGATGTTATTTCAAGTACATGGTAAAAAGTAGGGGTCTCAACATTTTGTAATATGAACAAATAAACCCAACCAGACAATGTGTATTTTCAATAAATATGCATCCTGTTAGGATACTGGAAGGAAGAGGAGGGCACAGAAAAAAATGCTTTAAAAACTAGTAACAGGCTGGAAGGATGGCTTAGTGGAAAGAGTGTGTGCAGACATGAATACCTGAGTTTGTACCTTCAGCACCCACATGAAAGCCAGGTGCAGTGGTGTGTCTATCAACCCCAGCACTGGGGGCAGGCAGAGACAGGTGGGGCAGGTGGAGACGAGTGGATTCCAGGGGCTGTGGGCCAGCCACTCTACCCAAATTGGATAGCTCCAGTGAGAAAGACACCAACACCAACCTCTGGCCTCCACATGCACATGCATGGGTGACCACAGCTGCACACATGTACACATGCTTATATGTATTATCCTCCCTTACACACACACACACACACACACACACACACACACACACACAAACTCCCCGACAAAAACCAACCAACCAACCAACCAACCAACCAACCAACCAACCAACCAAGTCAAAACTAGGCTGGGTGTCCTGTAGCCCCAGCTGGCCTGGAACTCACTTTGTAGACCAGGCTGGCCTCAAACTCACAGAGGTCCGCCTGCCTCTGCCTCCTGAGTGCTGGGACTAAAGGCACGTGCCACCACACCTAGCCTTGTATGAATTTTTTTAAAAAGATAAAACAAACAAATAAACCAATCAGATCAACCAGGAATTAGTCTTAGGAGCCAAGTAAATAAATTAGAGCCAACATTCTTGCCTTGCTCAACAAGCATCACTGCTTTGCTAATGGCCCTCGATAAAGACAGAGCAATCAGTTAAACCAACACCTCATTAAACTAAGAGGTGTCCCCAAAAGCACATCCAGTAGCTATCTGGCCACTAATTGACAGTGTTCTTAAGAGGAGCGCTAGTTGCTATTTAGTTTCAACTCTGAAAACAGTACACACAGAAGAAATACACTGTCTGCTTCTTTACCACTGCTGCTCCTTCCAGAGACAGAAGAGCCTGCCAAGTGGACTAGAGAATCAACACCTGTGTGTTTGTGCGTCGAAGGCCACCATGGTCCCTGGGGAATAAACTCCCTATTTGTAACCTGTAGCAGACACATTATCTTATTTGATTCCTAAAACAAGCCAGCCAAGATCTACCCTGCCTCCATTCGGTCCCTTGGCCCTGGCCACTCACACCTGCAGCTTCTGCACAACACCATTACACTCTTCTAGTCTCTCTACTTGCATTTCTTTTTCACATTAAACTCTGAGATTCCCAGGGTCTCTGGTTCTTCAAAGACTAGCACAAGATCTGGCTAATAACACATATTTACTGAATGTTTATAGAGATAACTAAGTTCTCATGGAGAAACGAGTGTCCACAGAATTCTGAAATTCAATTAAGGGTCAGAATCACACTTGGATTCCAGGTCTCTCAAACTCAAAGTATATATAATTTTTTCTTGTTTTCTTTTGTTTTGTGGTGCTGGGGCCCAAACTCAGGACATCAAGCACACCAGGCAAGTACTCTACCACTGAGCCACACCACCAACACATATATTTCATCTTTAAAGAATAAATGCTTGGAGCTAAAGATGGAAAACAAAGAAACTGAGTGATCCAGACCAAGTTCACGACAAAGTAGAGAGAAACTACCTCAAGGACAGCTTTGTCTCCCAGCTGTTCTGAAGTGATCAATCCCTATATTCTAAAATCTAAGTTTTGCAGCATTCCTCTATATTTAGGACTCTTTCAAAATGGCCAGTACTGGCAGATAAAAGCCATAAAGACCAGATTGAGAGGAGAATTAAAATTGGTATCTCCAACTACCAGTTTTAGTAGCTGCTACTAAAGGGCTCAGTCTCTCTTTCAAAGTACCCTTTTATTTATTTATTTTGTCTTTTGGAGACAGGGTCTCCCTGTTGCCCCTGCTTGAACTCAAAGAGATCCACCTGCCTCTGCTTCCCCCGTGCTGGGACTAAGGGGTGTGTGCCACCACTCAAAGGACCCTTTTAAGAACTGGGATATTGGGGCTGGAGAGATGGCTCAGCGGTTAAGAGCACTGACTGCTCCTGCAGAGGACCTGAGTTGGATTCCCAGCACCCACATGGTGGCTACAAACTGTCCTTAACTCCAGTTCCAGGGGAATCCGAAGCCCTCTTCTGACCTCTGCAGCATTCAAAAAAAAGAACTGGGATGTAACTCAGTAGTAGAGTGCTTGCCCAGCATGCAGAAAGCCCTGGATTTTTAATCCCCAGTATTGGAGAAAAATAAAAAGTATTCCTTTTGTACTAGATTCTTTTGTATATTCACAGCCTAAGTAATGCACATTTCATCCATCAGACTTCTACAGACCGGGGCAGAGATTAGAACAGCCTGGGATGTAAAAGGCAGCACCAAGCACTAGCCTGGGCTAGAGCACTGGGAGTAACAGTGAGCTACAGAACAGAATGCACAATGGGCAGGCTGGGTTCTGAGACCTGTCTATATGACTCTTTGAGCTTCTGTTTTCATAACTGCAAAATGAGTAAAACAACATATATTTTGTGCAGTGGCACAGATAATTCTCTGTGCTACTTTTGATTCTCTCTCTCTCTCTCTCTCTCTCTCTCTCTCTCTCTCTCTCTCTCTCTGTGTGTGTGTGTAGATCAGAAGTAGATGTCAATTGTCTTCCTCTATTGCTTTTCACCTTAAATTTTGAGACAGGGTCTCTCACTGAACCTGGAACTCTATTCAGTTAAACTGGCTGGTCGGCAAGTCCCTGGGATCCATCTGTCTCTCCATCCAATTCCCCAGCACTAAGCTTACAGATGCACCCAGCTTTTATGTGGGTGCTGAGGATCTGAACTCAGGTCTTCATGCTTGAGCAGCAAGCACTTTACTGACTGAGTCACCTTCCCAGTCCCTACTTTTGATCTTTACACAAATGAGAGAAAGGAAGTGGGTGGGAAAACAGCACAGTAACCAATGGGAGGGAAGGACAGAAAGCTCCCACCTTCTCGTAGTTTTTATCAGAACCTCCAAAGAAAAAGCCACTAGCAGAACTCTCAATGGGGACAGGGATTGAAGGCTTCTTAACATGGAAAGTGGAGAAGAACAGTTATGTTCTCACGTGTACATGCACTTGCACAGTACTCTAAACCATTTATAAACAGCTCTTAATCACATTCACTATGATAATGCAAATGACTTGCATAAGGTCACAAAGTCAGTAATGGTGGCGCTAGGATTCATAGGCAACACATGTGGTCCTCATCTATACAGGCACATGGCCCAGGTGTAGTCCAGCACCTCAGACTGACTCGGCTCCCTGCTTCTGAAGCAGAGAGCAACAGACAGACAAGGGTAGAAGAGCAGTCAGGAACACAGCCTGCAGGGAGCCCTGGGTGGAAGGAGTCTCACCTGTCATTTCGGCTGATGGCTGCCACCATCAGTGCTGTCCAGCCAAGTCTGTGCCTTGCATTGACATTTGCACCTTCCGACAACAGCCTGAAGAGAGACAGAATATTCTTAGTGCATGACTTATCACGACAGAAGTAGAAATAACCACAGAAGGAATATCTAGGTTATATAGAGTTCAAGGCCAACCTGGACACATAGTGAAGTTACTGTCTCAAGAGAGAAAAAGAAATGACTGGCAACAAGTATGCAGGCAGGACAAACCTGAAAACAGAGTACTTGGAGCCCAACCCTAGACTCTGATCCCTGCCCTCACCTGGCTTTCTTCTGCCTCTCCAATTCCCTGCTCCTGCTGGCACCCTCTCAGCCTTCTGGAAAAAAGAATTTGCCTTTTCTACCTTAATGGTAATATCATGACACCCTGACTCCCCTAGCCCAAAAATCTCTCTGCCTTTCTGCTTGTTCAAATCCTGCCCTCAGGCCATGTGTTATAATCCTGGTGACAAATCCCTTTCCCTTAACTTCTCAGTGCTTAACACAGAAGACTTACTTAACTGAGGCTAGGCATTATCGAGGTAGCTCCCAGTTCACAAAGGATCACATTTCTCAAGTGTATTTTTATCATGGCTGTTTGGAAAACATTAATTCTTTAAGTCAAAGAAAGACGGAGAGAATGTTAGAAATGCTAAGTTAGGTTTCCAGGAGAGCCCATGCAGACGCTATGGGATCTGTATGTCAGCACCTAGTACAGAGTAGGAGTTCAAAATTGTCAAGTAAGTTAACAAACTAAAGGCCTAAAGTATATCACTAAGCCTGAATTCTGGGTCCTAGTCCCTATACTATGGGGTATGGGGAGGGCAGAGAGAAGTGAAGCATCTTTGGGAGGGGGTGTTGATGACAGATGGGATGGGACAGACTGCCCTAGGAACTTCACATTCATGAGTTTATTTCATTCTTCACAACCCTAAGAAGCAGATACTAATATCTTTTCATGGATGAGAAAACAGGCTCAGTGAGGGCAAATGACTTGCTGAAGGTCATATAGCAGGCGATAATGATTCTACAGATGGACTCCTCAGCCATCTAGCCTTCCTCCACACAGTAATGATCTCAGCTAACCAATTATATGTGCTTCCTGGGCTGGATTCTGGATGCAGGTGATGAGACATGGGATCTGCTTAATCAAGAAGGGAGACTCAGGAGAGCAGAAGTCAAAGACCATAGGGTCAGAAAGGGAAGACAAAGTCAAGATATGACTCAGCCAGTTGTGGCAGCTCATGTCTATAATTGTCAGGCCAAGGCTGAAGGATCACCATAAATTCAAGGCCAACTGGCCCATGTAGTGAGTTCCCGGCCAGCTTGGAATGCAAAACCCTGTCTGAAAAACATACAAATGTGGTTCATCCACTAGGCAGATGTCCATATGAGAAAAGGGCAGAGGATGTCATAGGGACCAGGAGGCTGCCTTCTTATTCTGCATAGAACTCTAGGCAGGGTCAAAGGTTTGGGTTTGAGTGTGAGCACCATTTTGGAGTCAACTCTGTAGTAAATGCTCCTCTAGACCAAAGCTAAATAAAATGTTTGTGCTAGCTTGGTGGGGTGTACCATACCTGTGATCTCAGCACTTGGGAGGTGGAGCCAGGCAGATTAGGAGTTCAAGGTCACGCTTGGGTACATAGCAAGTTTGAGGCCAGCATGGCTTATAGAAGACAAAACTTTTTCTAAAAGTCAAACAAACAAAACAAAACAAAACAAAACAAAACAAAACAAACAAACAAACCCAGAAAATGTCTATACTACCGAGGAAAGCAGGTAACCAAGGCTTGGGAGGCTAACAAAAAACATCCTTGGGCCCTGAGGGCTACCAGCCTTTTACTCTGTTGATACAGTGACCAAGACAAGCACTGTGACAGGCTGAAGAGGAGATAGATCACCAAGCATAGAACTACAAATCTCCTGAGTGCTATGAATGGGGACTACAGGTCACAGGTGCATAACAAGGGAGACAAACTCAGGCTCAGTGACCAGGAAGGCATCTTTGTGGCGGTGATGATCAAGGGGAGTTAGCTCCACAGACAGAGTGAGGGAGAAGGAATGTTCCAGGCAGAAGTGAAGTGAAGCCGCTTCACAAGAAAAACAGGCTAGGGTACATGAGTGTGTAGTGACTGGGCCCACAGTGAGGGGAAGGTTTGAGAGCGGAGAGGAGGGCAGGACGCCAGCACTAATAGTTTGGAGAATTTCTCCTGGTAAAAGCCTCCTACTGTAACACACTGTTAAACCTTTTATGAGGAAACAATTTACTATGGCCATGGCTGTTAAAAGAAGCAAAGAGCCCTGGGGATAGATTTTTCTATGTAACAAAAATCTCCTTTTGCACAAACTATGTGGTATCATAGAAGCATTTGGCTCTGAAGCTTAAGAGTCAGGATGAAGTTCTGGTCCTTGCTGTGGATCTAAAGGAGGCCTCAGTGCGGATAGGAAAGAAAATCAGGCCAGGCTGGAGAAAACCAAAGAGGCTTCTGAGGCTTGAACTGTGTGTGCCTGGATCAGGAAGAGTTTGCAGAAGTGGGTGGAAGGGCACATCTGCCAAGGCAAAGCAGGGAAGGAACATTCGGTAACTACCCAGCAGATCTATCTGGGTGACAGTTCACAGCAGAGCAGCAGACAGTGCTGAAATGTGCAGGACCTCAGATGCCAGGCAAGAGGGCGGTGGACAGAAACCATTTTTGAGCTGTGGATCCTTCTGGAGCTATGATCAAATTTCTCTGCCAAAAAGTACATAGGAAGATATAGACACACTCAATTATTATCATCTTACAAATTATGTCCAGTGTTCACAGCTGTCATGAAGCCCACAATGGACCTAGGAAACTTGTCTAAAGTATGTACAGGAACCTGGCTAACATGCTTCTGTCCTGAACTCTCATGTCCAAGCAGAGATCAGGAATCTCTCCCTAGCAACTAACTAACTAACTAACTTCCTTCCTTCCTTCCTTCCTTCCTTCCTTCCTTCCTTCCTTCCTTCCTTCCTTCCCTTTCCTTCCTTCATTCCTTCTTTTTCCTTCCTTCCTTCTTTTTCCTTCCTTCCTTCCTTCCTTCCTTCCTTCCTTCCTTCCTTCCTCCCTCCCTCCCTCCCTCCCTCTCTCCCTCCTTCCTTTTGCTTACAACTGACATTAAAACAGATAGCACTCTTTATTGTAAATTCCCTATCACCACTTGATTCTCATAGATACTTTAACTTTTACCAAAACCTCATATACATAGGCAACCTGGAGTTGTAACTTACAACCTGATGCTGGTTAACATTTTCATACACCAATGAGTAAGATGAAAATTAAACAAAAACACATGTGAAACTCATTTTTTTAATCATATGAATTCTTTTTAAAATTTTTAATAATTACTTTTTTACTTTATGTGTACGAGTGTTTTGTCTACATGTATATAGATGTACCATGTGTCCAATATCCGTGGAGACCTGAAAAGGTCATTGGATCCCCTCGAGCTGGAATTATGGATAGCTGTTAGCCACCATGTGGGTGCTGGGGACTGAACCTGGGTCCTCTGTAAGAGCAGCCAGTGCTCTTAGCAACTTTCTTGTAAAGCCAATGGACAGTGATTGGAATCCCCAATGCAGGTTTCAGTCAGCCACCATTGCAAAACTGAAGCTGGCAATAGGGGAAACCTTTTTGCCATTCCGTTTACTAAGAACAGTGAAACTGTCATTCCAAACTTTGGAAGCAAAAGAAATCATAAAATTAACCTAGTGGGCTGAATCTGAAAGGGAGCAAGTAGACAAGGGGAGGGACCAATATAATGCGCCACACCCTTTCTCACCCTCTTCCAGGTTTACCTATCAGGTAGCTATCCTCTTCCAGTCACCCAAAACAATGTTCAAAGGATATGCTTTCCCATGTTCCCCTGGGGCCTCTGGGTCATAGGGTATGAGCCCCTTGATGTGACTAATAGTGACAGTGTCCTCTCCAGGACAACTGTTCCAAATCCTACACCAGCAGGACAGGGATACTGTGCACTCCTCTCCTAGTCAACACTTGGCAGTACCAGGCTTCTATGATTTTTGTTTTTGTTTGTTTGAGACAAATTCTCACTATGTTGCCCAAGTCAGCCTCAATTTGCTATCTAGCCTAGGCTGGCCTTGAGCTAGCTCATGGTCCTCCTACTTCAGTCTCTTGAATGCTGGGATTATAGGTCTAATGGGCATATTAGTTTTCATTTGTGATGCTGAACAGTTTTGAACTATTTGTATGTATGGGACTGTCTTTTCTGTAAGAATTTCTTTACTTGCTCTTAGGAAAAGGAACTCCTGGCAGAGGGGGTTCCTTTCAACTTGCTATCATTTAATTGAAGCAGTAAAGGGCAAGTCAGGCATGGTAGTGCACACCTGTCATTTTAGCACTTGGGAGGCTGAGGCAGCAGGATTGTTATGAGTTCAAGGCCAGCCTGGGATGCAGTGAAACCCTATGTCAAATAACAATGACAACAACAGAAAGAATACAGGGCTGTCAGGAGTCCTGTGTCTAGTCTCATTCTAGCTCCGCCACCTACTATGGCATAGCCCTCCATTACAGTCTCTCCATAGGCTCACTGAGGATCAAGCTCCCTGCCAGCTCTATGTAAGTGTGAGGAGGAGGCACTACAACTGCAAGAAAGGGCTCTGCAAACCTGGGGCCAGTCATGGGAAGAGAAGGAAGAGAATCTTGGTCTTCAGTGAGACTCCTTTTCAAGCCCTGCCCAGCTTCCAGACTGAGCATCATTCTTTGCATTTTCTTGGGGCTGGGGTATAGAAAGCACGGACTCTGGAGTCCAAGGGCTGGAGTCCAGATCTGGGCTCTGTATTCACTAGCTGTGAAATGTGTGTGTGTGTGTGGCGGGGTGAGGGGGGATATTGCTAACCTCTCTTGTACAAGCTGACTGTCAGAATTGAGAGAGACGTACCACACAATAGCGGAAGAACCAGAGCTAACTTCACCCACACCACAGTAAACCCAACCACAAACAATGGGAGGGGAGTGAGGCACCCCTGCCTCCCCTCTGCGCAGGGCAGCCCCAAAAGTTAGGATTTCACAAAC